AATGCCGAGGTGGCTGCAACAGCCATGGGTGATGTTGATGCAGAATTAGAAATTGATAGCACTCCCTCGGGCAGGCCCATGCAAACTTATGCTGAATATTAACTAAGATCTAAAGCAAGGGCAACCAAGCTTGCTAAATTCTCTTAAATTGTATTTGAAGATTTAGGGAGTGCAAATTGCTTGCATAAAGTTTGACTGATATGGTTCTCGGATTATGCCACTAGATTGGCATTGTCTTGTAACTCTGTTCTTGTTTCTTTCCTTGGTGGGCTTTGGTTTGGTCCCCCCACCTTGTACCTTTACTTTTTCTTATAATTTTAGCACTTTTGATGTGAAGCATATGATGGATGGGGAGCGGGGTGCTAACCTAGTTATGATCCCCCTTTTCATAGTGATGCTATACCACATCTACCTTTTTTCAAAAAAAAAATGTACCAATACTTCATTGATGACTTGAGATTTAACAAGGTAGTGAGTAGAATGAAGTTCAAAGAATACAGAGTTATCCTTGGCAGATTTACTAACACTAATTAAATTTTTGGTAATATATTAGGAACATGCAATAGATTATGTAGGGCTAAAGAAATTTTTGGATTATGTTGAGACATAAAGAATGAAGAACCGTAAGAGTGAATAGCCAAACCTTGACCATTGTTAATGAATATCTAATCAACTCCATCAAAAAGACTAATTTGTTGAATATTTTACTGTTCCCCATTACATGAAACGATACACCGGAATTTGGAAACCATCTTGTAGGATTTGGAGTCGTATTTGTGTTATTTATCATGGTATTGGGATGTTGAGAAGTTGATTTGGTATTCTGATTCCACTAATTATTAAATCCAAAATGTGCAAATGATTGTTGTGGTGGTTTACTAACGTGACTATGTAGTCCCGTAGTTACATTAAACAAGTTCCCATGATTATAAGAATAATTCCCTTGAAAATTGTCGATAGAGGCATATTGATAATACTGGTCAAAGTGATGATAATAGTGTGCAACAATATGACCAATTTTGCAACATACTTGGCACTAGATGCTTGAGTATCATCCATCACGGCCATGATGTGTATTTCTTCAACCATTTATGTCAGCATCAACACCTTGTAAAGATTGCTGATTGCCAATATCACTATATTGCTAAAAATTAAGGTTCATGTTAGGGCATTGTGTCAGATTGATTGTGGATCGAATAAAATTTGTTTTTTTGTACTTTAGGACACGCATTTCACATGCTAACAACAACACTTCCACTTCTTCGATTGAAGGAGTCTCAAGCTTGCTTTCAATAATAGAGATTATTGAACTATAATCTTGCGATAAACCTCTGAGAACCACATTGACATGTTCTTGTTGTGAAATTGATTCTCCAACAAACACAAGAGCATCAACCAAGGCTTTGATGTAGAGAAGAAATTCTTCCATAGTTTTTTCTTTGAGTGATGTTAATCACAACTTTGTTAGTAATTGTTAAGCTCTAGCTTGAGTTTGTTTGTGGAAGAAGTCATGGATTTTGTCCCAGACTTGATAGGAATAAACACTTCCTAACACTTGCGAGAGAATCGTAAGAGATAGAGAGGATTGCAAACATGACACAAGCATTTGATCTTGATGCTCCCATGCTATGTATTCTAGATTGGTTTTTCCTTCATATATCTCTATCAAATTCATTTAAGAATCGTAGAGGAATTTTTGGATAAACTACAAAATGTTGAAGACGGTGAGCCTTAATGACTGACTCGACTTGATAATGCCAAACGAGAAAATTTGTTTCACCTAGTTTTGTTGAAATTGTATGTACGAATGTAATTCGCGCAAAGGAAGAGAGATTGGGTGCCAAATTGTCTATCGAGATTGTCAAGCTCTAGATACCATAATGAGTGAGAGAGAGAGAGAGAGAGAAAAAAGAAGAGATTGAGAATTGTAAAATGTGTAACTGATTATCTTATTATGAGATAATGGAGCAAACCACTTATCTATAGAACAAACTGTTTTCATGTCGGTTCTAACAAACTAATCATAAGACTATAACAAACTAACCAACCTGAGAGTTAATTTTTAAATGCTCTTTTTACAATTCACTCACAACCCATGATAAAACATGACATATATTATAAATAGACTTGCCTACCCAACATGTTCATTAGTAGTTATAATGGTAAGTTATGGGATAACAGAGAATGTAGTAGTCTACATCATAACTTTTACACTATGAAAATATATTCTTGTTACTATTATTTCTTTCTTTTTTCTTGTATTTGTCGATCCTCATCATTATATAATTTCTATCATTCTTATATGTTAGGGACGAATCTGATCTTATCGATGAAATTGTAAAAGATATTCGGCAAAAGTTGAACAAGTTCTACCCATGTGAATCAAATGGCCTCGTTGGAATTGATAAAAAAGTTGAACAAATTCAGTCATTATTGATATCAGGCTCAAGTGAAGTTCTTTTTCTTGGAATCTGGGGCATGGGTGGCATAGGTAAGACAACAATTGCTCAAGCAATATATGATAAATATTCTCGTCATGATGAATATGATGGTTGTTGCTTTTTGAATGTAAGAGAAGGATTTGAGCAACATGGATTGAGCCTTTTAAGAGAAAAGCTTTTATGTGATCTATTTGAGGGAGAAGGCCTTCGTACAAGTGGCATAAGCAAAGCAAGATTCTTCTCCTCTGCTGGGAGAAGGATGGGTGGGAGAAAAGTCCTAGTTGTGCTTGATGATGTGACTACTTCGGAACAAATAAAATATTTGGTTGGAGAACCAATTTACTTTGGTCAAGGGAGTAGAGTGATCATAACAAGTAGAGATCAGGATGTCCTTACAAGTGGTGGAGTTCACCAAATTTATGAAGTTAAGGAAATGTGCCCTAAAGATTCCCTCAAACTCTTCAACTTACATGCCTTCAAGGAAAGCCAACTCAAAATGGGGTATGAAAAGCTATCTGAAGAGGTAGTTAAAATTGCCCAAGGCAATCCATTAGCTTTAACAGTTTTAGGTTCTGATTTTCATTCTAGAAGTATAGACACATGGGAGTGTGCATTGAGCAAAATCAAGAAGTATCCCAATGAGAAAATTCAGAGTGTGTTAAGATTCAGCTATGATGGACTACATGAAGTAGAGAAAAAGGCATTTCTGGACATTGCATTCTTTTTCAAAGATGATGACAAAGACTATGTCATAAGGCAACTGGATGCTTGGGGTTTTTATGGAGTTTGTGGAATAGAGGTTCTCCAACGAAAAGCTCTACTGACAATTTTAAGTGACAATAGAATACAAATGCATGAGTTGATAAGAAAAATGGGTTGTGAAATAGTTCGTCAAGAATCCATTGAAAGTCCAGGTAGACGCAGCCGATTGAGGGATAGTGAGGACATACATGATATATTGAGATATAATCTGGTAAGAGAAAGATACATTATACTAATTCCCTTCAAGTGCTTTTACATGGAAATTAAAATTAGTATGGACTATGGAAATATTTGTGTGATCTTATTTTGAATTTTCCAGGGAACTGATAAGGTGGAGGCCATGCAAATAGATGTTAATCAAATGACAGATTTACGTTTGAAAGTAGACACTTTTAAAAGCATGCCTCGTCTAAGATTTCTCAAGATTTATCACCCATTGCATGCTGAACTTTCTATGTCAAGTCGTGCACCTGTTTGGTCTCCAGATAAACATGTTGCATTGCTCTTATCAGGGTACGAAGAACTCATGAGTGTTGCAAGCGAGATTCACATAAAATTTCTCCACTACCTTCTTTTTGATGGTTGCTCAGGTCCAAAGGAAATTTCTGTAACATCAAAGGAAATAAGGCAACCAAACATAACACGCCCTAGAATGGAAATAATAATGAACTCATCCATTGGGCACCTCAGCAGTCTTGAATGCTCAGCAGTCGATGTTCAACAATTTAAGAATCTTCCCAATGAGTTACTTTGCTTGAGATCTACATATTACCTTAAGCTTTCTAATAGCAATGGACAAAACACAAAGAAACTCAAGCTGCATATTCTTTTTGATGGCTTAAGGTATTATCAACTCATACCTTTCAGCAAGTTGTGTAACCCAGTTGCAGCACCTCTGAATATTAGTGCTCTTTCATGGTGTCGTGAATTTATTGTGGGAGAAAAAGAAAGCTTGGCAGATTTGCTGAAGGCTTTGCCTTTTGAGACTAAATACACTACTAATTTATTTGTATCTGAACATTTTTAATATATAGAGCTATGCTATACAAGAGGACTAGAGATGGGATCGATCAGTTATTTCATCGTTTTCTATTTTGGTGAGTATTAAATTTCAATCACACCTGAAACACTTTAGTTTGAAACACACTCATTTTTTCCCCTTTTGGGCTCTTCTTCCTCACCTTTCATGACTTAAGGAAAAGCGTACACAGTTTTCTGCATCCATGCATGACTCTTCTTCCTTCATGTAGGCCTTACTCGTTTTAATATAACTGTCATAAGTCGTAATTACTCTCACGTTCATTTGAAACACATATATGGCTTCAATGGTTTGTTAAAACAGGCTACATATTATCTATTCTAAAATATCAATGCGCTTCTATTCAGAAACTAAAAGCCTATTAAACTTTGTTATTTTGTAAGCCATTTTTTTTTTATCACAACTCGACCAATGTTAGTTTATAAAATTGGTTACCCAAACAAGAAATCAGTAGAGAAAATATTTGGCCTTTTCTCTTGTTTTCATCCAAAGTGATTTTCTATCACTAATTCTCTTCCATCACAAATTATTTCACTATTTATTTCATGCATATGGTTAGCAGTAAAAGTTAAGTAGATGAATTTGATATGTTTTATGATATATTGGATGTGCAGATGAAAATACATTTGTGTGGATTGCTTCCGAATTGAGAAATGAAAAAAAAAATTGGCTTGATTTTTTAGGCTACGTGCATGTCACGACTATATGTAGGATTAGTCGATTGGGTGTCAACATGAATTGGTTTTATTTTTGTCTCTTCCATATGTTGAAGATTAAAATCCTAAAATGTTAAATTAATTTTCAGATCATGAAGTATAGTACCTTGTGTGAATAAAGTAGAGAAGCCAACCTTGTGATACTTGAACATGATTCAAACCAACTTGATCTTCAACACACAGGAGTGTGAAATATCTTAGCTATAGCGCATATAAGTATTTATAGTTATTGTATTGAGTCTATTTTTTCTATACCTTACTCTGTACATACACATGTACATACACATGTACATACACAAAAGAGGAAATAATGCATATAAGCATTTACAAACTACTCAAGCTATCAAAACACTTATCAACAATTTTTTAATGTGTTTTTGCATCGTTTAAGGTGTAAAACGTTGTAACAAACTCTGGAATTGCATAAACTAGTAGACGGAAATGTTGTCCTAACACATTAGACATAGTAATATATATTTCTATTCAAAAAGGCATTATATATGAAAATGCATTTGTAAAATCATTATGACTAAAATAATATACTTCTATCATATAAAACAAATTTATCCAAAATCAAGTGAGTTGGCGGGTTAACCCACTAAGATAGCATGTTGGGTGGGGTGGCTTGGTTAGTTTATCTATCCAATACAACCCACAAAAAATACGTGGGTTGACCCACTAGATTCAACCCACATTGTCATCCCTATGTTTTATATTATTTTTTTTTCTTTTTCCAAAAGTTGTGGTTTCTTTGAAATTCTTGCAAAAGTAAACATTCTATTTTAAACTTGTTTTGTGTGCAATATTTATATTGCAATTGATTCTATATTGAATAAAGTGAGTCATCAACCCACTAGTCACTACAGATCTGCTCACCCTAGCCGAGTTGTTATTCTTAAGCAACAAAGCATGATCACACATATAGACACAACACTTGGAACCATTACAAGAAAAATGCAAATTTTTGACGAAAAAATTTTTACGGATATTTTTGTCGGATTTATATTTCCGTTGAAAATTTCTGACGGAAAATTCTATCAAAAAATTTCGACAGAAAGTTCTGTCGAAATTTTTTGAAGGATTTATATTTCTGATAGATTTTTGTTTCCGTCGGAAATTTTAAGACCATCACACACTTCCTAATGTCCATTGTTTGAACTCTTCGGGGATCTGATGATCTCTTTTTTTGAAATTTATAAATATTATTTTTAATATTATAAAATGAATATATTTTATTTTTATTTTTTAAAAAATATTTTTCTTTAATTTTATCTTTTTAAAATGACTTAAATATGACTTTAATCCTTATAATTAAAATTAATAAGTTTTGATTTTAGTTTCTATAAAAAAATTTATTTTTCATTTTCTAAAATCGGAATTTTTATTTTTAATTCTTATTTTTTATGTAATCATTTTTAACTACTTTTTATTTAATTATCTTAGGTGTCACCTACAACAATTATGTACTATTATCATATTAATATTTAACACCTCTAAATTTTTTTTTAGTTTTTTAAAATAAATATTATTTATCTACCTTAAAATAATCAAACTAGTGAATTTATATTTTAGAGGGATGAAAATCAAAGAAAAATATTTTACACATTTTACAAGTACGAAACAATCTTTATAAATCTTATAAGGATGAAAAATAAAGAAAAAAATTTACAAAGACCAAAATCAAAATCACCCATCTTATAGGGACTAAAATATATTTAAACCTTCTAAAATCAATATTTTCGATCTTAACAATTATTTTAAATAAATAATATTTATTTTTAAATATTTATAAACTACTTAGAGATTTTAGTATATTGTCTTTAAAATTATAGTAAGCAAGTTCAAGTGTGAATATTTTCATATTTGTGTGTTTCATGAGTTTTCTATTAAATAATTAGTGCATATATTAGTTTATTTAACATAAATAGTAGTTTTATATTTTAGAAGAAAAAATAATTTTTTTCTTTTCTAGAAATAATAAGCTTAAAATTACACACACACACACACACACACACACATATATATATATATATAATATATATAGGGGGCTATAATTATACCGGTTTAACTATTACTAAGTATTACACCGCTCAATAACTTTATATTAAATGTGAATTTTGTAAATCCAACCATTAAATTGAAAGTTCATATCACTTTATATGTGTATATCAAATTTTGTTAAAATTGAACACCAACGGGAAGGTAATCAAAGTATTCATATTTTAGTGTATTTTGAAATGAATATATTACATCAATTTTGTTTTATAAAAATGAAGTATCAAATCATCTTGGATTAATATAAAATTTTGTATATATAATCTAAGAGATATGAACTTTCAATCTAACGGTTGGATTTTCAAAATTCACAATTAATATAAAGTTATTGAGCGGTGTAATACTTAGTAATAGTTAAACCGGTATAATTATAGCCCCCTATATATATTATATATATATATATATGTGTGTGTGTGTGTGTGTGTATAACTAGATAAGATTTTAAGTTAGTATTTTATTAATGGTTGATAATTAGAAAATAAAACAAGGATAAATACATTTTTTGAATTTTATATGTTTGATTTAAGGTAAATAAATATATTAAATTAATTATTAATTTGTTTAAAATGTTAAAATTTAATTTATAAGTATGTAATAAATAAATATTTATAATTTTATAAATTATATTATCATTATAAAATTAAATAATTTAAATTATAATTTTAAATCGAAATAAGTAGATGTTAATTATAAAAGTATGTACATATAAATAAAGAATAATTGAATATATTATTATTATTATTATTATTATTATTATTCGTAATATAAAATTATTATATATTATTATCATAGTACAAGTATGAGATTGTATATTTGAGGATGATTTAAATGAATTAATTTGTACAAGTTATACTGACAACATACATATACATTTCAATAGCTTACTCATAAAAACTTCACAGTTAAGTGTGTTTGACCTAGAGTAGTATAGAGATGGGTGACCTTCTGGGAAGTTTCCTAGAAATTGCGCAAGTAAGGATAAAATATGTTAAAAAGTGAAATGTCGTGAAATAGAACCTTTTAAAGGCCAAATATGAGGACTGTTACATTAATAAATTTATTAAAATTAAAAAAAATTATAATTTCTATCGGAAATTTCCGACAGATATTTTTGTCAGAAATTTTCGACAGAATTTTCCATCAGAATTTTCCGACGAAATTTTCCATCGGAATTTTCCGACGGAATTTTCCATCGAAATTTTTTGATGGATTAAATTATTTTCGACAGATTTTTTTTTCGACGCCACTTTTTCTGATGGATTTAAATCCGTCGAAAAAAAAAATCCATCGGAAATTTACCTTTTTCTATCGGAAATTAGCATTTTTCTTGTAGTAAACATAGGAAGAAAGGTCCAACTATTCAGATACAATTGACTAGGAGCCATGTTATCGATCCTTCCTTAAAAAATCACACTCCAAATTGCTAAAACACACTCATGCCTTATAGAATACAATGGTACCTATAGACGGACGGACAACACTACATCTCCTTCCCCAAATACACACAATGACCTTCGATACAAAGGCGAACCACAAACAAAGGCGTGTGTGCTAAAGAAAAAAGCGAACAACTATTGAGTAGGGCCACCATTGACTCTTTGTTATCTAGCCAACTCTCATACCAATCCACCTCACTCTTAATCCACTCATAGCCCTCCCTATCTAGCAACACTTTCCCCTTATCAGAAAATAGTACTCAGAAAATGACTCAACATGTTCCTCAACCCTAATAGAGATGGGCTCTACTAATACTAGCTAACCCATATATTAGTAGCACCCAAACTTGTATTGGGTACTTCTTCATGAGCATCAACAAAAGTATTCAACTCAAGCAACCTCTTCATAGACTCAAAAGAATATTTATCATCAGACTCCAATCTTAGATGCCTTCGCCTCATCACGTACTCACCAAAAGAAAACAAATTGAAATGTTAAAAGACCAATCATGAAGAGGGTGATACCTAAGAGAAATGCAATGGACAAAACAGCTACACAAAATCACAAACATAATAACACCCAAAAGCAAACTGAAGAAAGAACATGAATAGTTCCACAAAATACCTTTAAAAAATAGCATGTTAAATGTTTGTCTCTCTCTTTGTTAATCAATGACCCACATTCATATTAGCAAAACAAGGGGCGACCTAGATCTATTCACTAAAACGACGATCATTACATATTAACCACATAGGAAAAAACCATCAACAATGTACACCACATGCATAACATTGCTTACCCATCACCAAGTCTTAATGAACCCAAGATTAATAGTTATTTTGCCCTTGAGGAGCTAAGAACTAGGGGGCTTGTGTGTCGCCCAACTTG